CAAGAGGGGCAGTGATAAAGGCGGCATACTTGAGGATAGGAATTCACAGGTTTGTTCATGCTTAACCCCATTTGGACATTTTTTCCTGCATTAGAGATTAACAGCTCAGATGTTCCTGTGTTTTGTACTTCCCTGATCGCGAGCAGTATGGTAAAGCCACCGGGCATCTTAAGATGTGTCATGCAGAAACGTGACAGGTCCTTGCCTACTTTGTAAAGAAAACAGCAGAGGTTATGTGGCACTGCTGGTGAACCTGGGGATGCCTCTTAGGATTCGTAGCAGTCACACTGGTGTCCTGGGCCTGCCGAGGGGCATTGTGCCTCGTACCATACCACGACTGCCTTTGCTGTCCAAAGGACTTGATGTTGTGTGCAAACAGCACCTGGATCTTCACAGCATCTCTCTCACCTAGGGATTGTCCTCTCTGACGTGCTGCTAGGACTTTGCAGTAGGCTGTGTGCATGCTGACATTGGGAGGACTGACTGTTCTGATGGACACAGGGACATGCACATAGGAGGCTGAGTACCCCCCGGGATACCTTAAGCAGTAACCAAGGAGCTTGCTCTGCTTATGCTTACATGGTGCTTCTGCACATCACCTGAAATTTTCAGAGGATCTTCATATTTAGGTGTTAGAACAAACACAGCTGTAAAAATTGCCCAAAAAAACCCCGAACCAATGAAGTGGAGGGAATAAAAAGTGCAGAATGTGAACTAGACTCTCATGGTTGTGGAAAACTAAAAAGGGAGGAGAAAGGGCAAGAAAGAGAAACTAATGGGCAGTGAAATTAGGAAAAATTAAAAGCAGCTTTAAATACATCAGAAGCTAAGAGTCCTAAAAGCACAGTCATCTACTGATGCCTGGAACTGCAGAAATGTCAAATGTTTCTTTCCTGTAGCTGGCAGAAAATCTAGATGACAGTACCAGTTACAGCAGCAGCATAATGCTTTCTGTTGTAGCAGTAGCTTGGGAAATGACCAAACAACAACTACTACAGCAGTACATTTTTAAGTTTGCTATTCTGGCTAACTTGCATCCAGGGATTATAAAAGGGCTGGCTGAGCAGCGGTCTCTGGGCCACAAATGCTTTTTTTTTTTTTTTAAAAAAAAAAAAAAGAGAAAACATAATGAGTTAGACTGAAAAAAATGTTGTGTGTTAGTCATAAACAAGTAAGCTAATACTAAGTCTAATCTGGGCAAACTAGAGTACTAGGCTACCTGCAGTCTGATGTTGGCTTCCAGTAAAATAATGTAACAGCTTGTAGGGATTGGATTGGTCATGATTTAAGGGGATGTTAATTCTAATAATGAACCTGTGCAGATTTTTGAAAAATAGGTCTTTTCTAACATGGTGTGATTTTCTGATGTTGCTGTAATTTTGCTTGGTAAAGTTAAAAGCACTGGTATGTCTTGCATGTTTAATGCACTGAAGTTGTGCCACAGGTCATCGGAATAAGCAGCTAGAATGATTCCATATGCCACACACTGTTGGAGCAGGCCCAGAGGAGGGCCACAAAAATGATCAGAGGGATGAACACCTCTCCTGTGAGGACAGGCTGAAAGAATTGGGGTTGTTCAGCCTGGAGAAGAAAAGGCTCTGGGGAGACCTTTTTGCAGCCTTTCAATACTTCAAGGGGGCTTGTAAGGAAGATGGGGACAGACTTTTTACTAGGCTCTGTTGTAATAGGGCAAGGGGTAATGGTTTTAAACTAAAAGAGGGTAGATTTAGACTAGATAAAAGGAAGAAATTGTTTACAATGAGGGTGGTGAAACACTGGCACAGGTTGCCCAGGGAGGTGGTGGATGTCCCATCCCTGGAAACATTCAAGGTCAGGCTGGACGGGGCTCTGAGCAACCTGGTCTGGTTGAAGATGTCCCTGCTTATTGCAGGGGGGTTGGACTAGATCACCTTTAAAGGTCCCTTCTGACCCAAACTATTCTATGAATAAACGAAAACCTGACTAAATGAAAGGTCACAGTGTGACAGCAAAAGGAGAGCCATTGCTGATAGTGTATTTCTAGTAGTGTCAGCTGGGAATTGTTTTTTTGGCTTGATGCTAATCAAGAGGTGGGTGTTGGTCTCTGCTCCCAAGTAACAAGTGATAGGACGAGAGGAAATGGCCTCAGTTTGCGCCAGGGGAGGTTAGATTGGATGTTAGGAAAAATTTCTTCACTGAAAGGGTTATTAAGCATTGGAACAGGCTGAAGTGGTTGAGTCACCATTGCTAAAGGTATTTAAAAGATGTGTACATGTGGCATTTAGGGACACGGTTTAGTGGTGGACTTGGCAGTGTTACATTTACGTTTGGACTTGATGATCTTAAAGGCCTTTTCCAGCCTAAACGATTCTATGATTCTAAGTTTGTCGGTGTCCTGGAAGAAAACACAAAGTTAATTTGGATGATGTTTGTGGGCAACACAAAGCGCAGGCAAGTCGCAAGTAATGAAAAGAGGCAAGTTAGCGGTGGAGTTGTGCTGACACGTATGCTGGGCGAGGCAACAAGTTGTGTGAATGTCTTAAAAGCAGACACCTAGTCGCAGAGCAGGTAGGAGGGCTGCGGTGGCCTGGGAGCTGTTGCAGGAGCTAGGGCTCTTACGGCAGCACGGCGGTTCCCCGAACACAAAATCCCCAGCTGGGCACGGTGGCGAGAAAAGTGAATGCGGTACTGGGACACAAACATGGAAATCCTGAGCAGGGGCAGGGAGCGCGTTATCTTGGTGCAAGGTGCTGCTCCCGTCAGCGCAGGAGAGCTGCGGCCGGTGCTGCGCAGGAATGTTGCTGATAAGTTGGAGGGAGTTCAGGGAGGACCGTGAGAGGGGAGAGCTGCAAAATGTGCCGTACAGTAAAAGGAGGGGCTCTGTGTGTAAAAGAAACACTTGATTTCTCTTTTTTTTTTTTTTTTTTTTTTTTTTTTTTCCTGCTGGAGGTATGCTATAGTTTAACCAGGAGTTACGGAAGGAAGTGCAGTGGCCTGCCTTGTGCAGGTCGGACTGCGCCGTCGCAGGGTCTCTCTCGCTCCGTAATGGAGGAGTCCTCACAAGGGAAGAGTGGGAAAGGAAGAACCATTGTATCTTCGGAGACAGATGTCTGCATCTCTTCCTACTGAAGCCTTGGGTGTTGTGGCTGTTTTAACTCCAGGTGCCCTGTCCACTAGGCTTCCAAAATGTGTGGGTTTTCTGACCGAGAGCATCTGCCCTGCAGCCAGCATCTGCCTCCTGTGCCAGTGCAGGCCACGCAGCTAACCACCTCCGGGGGAGCTCCCGTCCCTTCTTGTTTTTTAACATTTTCTCCCTCCCCGAGCTGCTGCTTTGTCCCTCCTGAGCTGCTTTACTGCAGACTTTTCAGGAAAAAACTTTTCCTTCTCCTCTGGGAAGGGCAGGTAGCCCCTGCCTGCAGCACTGGCTGGTGCGTGGGGACAGGACTGGAGAGCTTCTCTCTCACTCTGGAGAGTGCAGAGCAGGGGCTCAGCCTGCCAAAATAATGAACCCCTCCTTGCCCTTAATACCGCTTCCCTTCTGACTGGCTGTGGTAATTCTGAAAGAAAATGTGTCTTGTTTTGGGTGTCTTGTAAAGGCTTAAAAGTGCGTGTGTTTGCGTGTATCTAGTTGTACTTAATGCTGAGGCTTTCCTTTCAGAGCACTATATGAATATTAACTAGAAACTCCTTGATACAGGCTCGATAAAGGTCTTTCAGGCTGCACGTTGGCATGTGAGAAGTTGGGCTGGAAAAATTAATCATTTGTCCCCTGGCACAAAGAAGAGCCACAGAGGCTGGGAATAGCATTCTGGCTTGCTGTAAACAGGGCACAAACGTAGACTAGATTTCCACGGTGCTCAGTCCCATACAAGCATGTGTGGAATAAGAAAATTCCTGTCTTCAGAACACGAATCTTGGGATGCCCAGAGCCGGATCGTGATGGGGACGGGCTCTTCCACCAGCTCCCCTGACAGAAGGGGTCTGATCAGCTGCTGAGGCCCCTCTGCTGGGCACTGCGAGTGTCGGGCAGCAGGTGTGGAAAGGGGGGTCACAGGGGACTTTGGGGGGAGCAGCTATGAAGTCTGATCTGGTACAGTGCCTGAGAGCAGCCAGTTTGTGTGCCTTGGAGGAACTCTTAAGATGAATGCGATAGAGACAAGCGGTGCTCTGTTTTATTCCTTGTCTTGAGCTGGGATGCTCTGAAGCTTAGTGGCCCTTCCAAAAATCTTAATTAAACCCATTCCGAATTATCATCACTTGCCATATCAATATTTTCTCTTCAACAGCATCCCATGATGGGTGGAGGAGGGAATTGTTATCGTTTTGGAGCTTGCTGTCCTTAGACATCATTAAGTGGTTCCTGGCTCTTGCACTGAGCTGAGGGAGAAGCGTTTTCACCACAGTGGCTTGCGTGCCAGAAGGGTGGTGGTAGCTCGGCTCCGGTCATCGCAAGGGACAGGAGGATCGAGAGCATGACTTGTGCAATTTGGTGGAGTCTGGCAGAGCGCTGTAGGCACTTAACCTGTTTGTCAGAGGTGTCCGGAGCACACAGAAAGCTCCGTCTGCAGGGGTGTAGTACACCACGCTCTGTTCCCAGATGGCAACTGGCATATATTTGTAGACAGATCCTGGTTCATGCCACGACTTGCATTCCTCTTTCTTGTCATTCTGTCCCCAAAGACCTGGTCTGAGTTAGCGGTGCTCCGTTTTTCTGTAACACATCCCACCCACCAGTCTTAAATTACATGCGCGACATTTTTAATGGGCTCTGTGGAGCATGCTTCGGATTCCCGGTGCCTCAGGTTGCTCCGTGGTGTCTCACGCTCTTCACCTGACCTGCGACTGAACTGCTCTTTCCTCCCCAGCGTGGGAAGAGCTTTCCACCTACCTGCGCATGTAGGTGCCCCAGTATGTGATGGCAGCTCTCGATGCCAGGAGGGAGCCTGCCCTGCTGGGGGAGGAAGGCTGTGATTTCTTGGCCACTCATTTTTCTCCTCCCTCCCTTTGTTGTTTTTCAGAACATGAGTGAAAACTTGAAGGACTGTTTGATCCAGACCCAGGCTTCCTTAGGGGAGATGGTGACGATAAAAACAGAGGCCTGCTCTCCGCGCCGGGACCAGGAGTATGGACAGCCTTGGTACGCGGCTGAGCTTTGGTCCGATGTACTGTAACCCCCTTCTCTCTACCTCCCTCCCAGCTTAAAGTTGGTTTTGCAAGATATACCTGAACTTGTCAAAGTTATTAAACCCCTCCCTTGTGAGGTCTGCCTTGAGCTGTATGACGGGGGTGGTCACCTACTCATGTGCTAGGCACACGTCTGTTATGTATGCTAGTTCGCATCGGGCTTTGTGGTGCTGGCATGCGTTGAGGGTGATGCCTTGCCTTTGAGCCGCACATTTCCCAGGCTGTAGCACCTCTCTGCTGGTGGGAGTCCCCTCTGCCACTCTCCTGCCCAGTGTGGGATGTGCCACACGTGTGCCATGCATGGAGGTGCTCTAGCTGAAGCCACTACCTGCTGTAGGCTTTAGCCTTAAGCCGTCTCAGGCACCAGCTTTTGGCAGGTTGGATGGCAAGTTAAATCATTTCTCTGCTGCTGGTGTGGGGACTAAGAGAGTTGGTCAGGCCCCGTTGCCTCTGCTCCTCTCTGCGTGCAGTCCCAACATCTTGGTAGTTTAAAATCATCTTTCTGTTGTTCCCTCCCCAGCTCTGGAAGGCCTGACCCACAGTCCATGGAGGTGGAGCCCAAGAAACTGAAAGGGAAACGGGATTTGATCATGACCAAGAGCTTTCAGCAAGTGGATTTCTGGTGTAAGTGTCTTGTGACTGAGGGAAAAGCAACATCACCACTATATAGGCTTCAGTCTTTCCTAGTCGGCACCTTGCCAGGGAGGAAAAAAGCTGGGGACAAATTTGTGTGATCTCCTGAAAAGACCAGCACATTTGATAAGGAAGCTGTTGCACAAAAGCAGCTTGTCCATCATGGGGCTGTGCAGCGATAGGGAGGTAGGTGGAAGGTGTGCTGGAAACATGAAAACGTGCATGTGGGAAAAGCCTAAGAGTCTGCAGAACCCAAAGGCTTGTATTCAGTGAAGGGAACATTGTGTCGACGACGACTCTTTCCCCCCTCCCTGTATTCTGGGAAAGAAAACTGGTGCTGGTTACATTGGCATACCTACAAAATATCAAATTGTAGGCCTGAGTCCTTGTCTGGTCACAGGGCCAGTGCCTTGGGATGCTGCCTTTCTCCCGAGCACAGAATAAAGGCTGTATGATGAGGGTATTTTTTTCCAGGGATGTTTGTTTTAGTTCCCCTCGGGTGCGTGGGGAATCAAACCTTTTGTCTTGAGGACATTGCTGCTTACCAGGGATGTGCGAGGAGCCCGCACCCTCTGTCTCTGCAGGTGGAGATGGGGTCTTTCCCTGCGCACGTGGCCAGTCTGTGTAGGGCACCAGGGCTCACGCAAGCGCAGGCGTTGGTCGGGCAGGCATGGCTTGGGGCAGAGCCCTTGTGGAGAGATGCGTGACGAAATGGGTTGAGCAGCCGCTGAAGCATCTGTTTGTGTGGAGGTCGGAATTTGGGGAGGGGACTCAGCTGGGCTGGTGGGAGGATGGGGAGCTGGGGCATGCTGGCCTGAGCACTGTGCATCCTATGAGCTATGTGAGCCTGTACAGGCATCGCATCTGCCCAACCTAACCCCTGCTCCCCTTGCACCTGCAGTTTGCGAGTCCTGCCAGGAATACTTCGTGGATGAGTGCCCGAACCATGGCCCCCCGGTGTTCGTGTCTGACACCCCAGTGCCCGTTGGCATCCCTGACCGGGCAGCGCTGACCATCCCGCCTGGAATGGAGGTGGTGAAAGAGCCCAATGGGGAGAATGACGTGCGCTGTATGAATGAGGTGATCCCCAAAGGTCACATCTTCGGGCCGTACGAGGGGCAGATCTCTAGCCAGGACAAGTCTGCAGGATTCTTCTCGTGGCTGGTGAGTGACGAGTCTTCCCGACAAAGTGATGCCCCAGCCATGCAGCTCAGAGCTGGGGGACTCGCAGGTCTGTGGAGCCAGACCTTAGCCATCTTTCCTGTTCTCCAAAGATCTTCCACTGACCCACATGGGCAGTAGGCGAACATCAACCTGCCGTAATTATTAGAAGCTTAAGGGTATTGATACGTGAAAGGAGACCAGGTGCCATGGCACCCGAGTTCAGCTCACAGCTGTAGGAAGCAGAGCTTGCTTCTCCTCTTCCCCTTGCCATGTTCTTCCATCCCCACTCAACCTCTAGGGCTCCTCCAGTACCTTTCTCTGCTCTCGTCATCATTCTGAGGATAGAGGAAGGATTGTATCTAGATATTGCAAAGCTCTCTCACGGGCCTGCAGTACTCTTCCCAGCCCGCTTGAGCAGAACAGGTGGCTCAAGAGGCCAGGAAAGAGGAGATCCAGTCCATCAGGAACTGATCTACATGCAGACTCCAGCACCAAACCCCATATCTTTTTCCCCTAGTACTACAGGCCTTGGTTAGCCTATGAGAAAGAGATGTCACTAGATTGATGGATATTAATTATTATGAGAAATGAGATGTGGGACTTAAGTTACAGGTGCGAAAAAAATTGAGAGCTGCTGATATGAAATGCTGCTCACACTTTTCTGTTTGTAGAATAAATGTGTGTCTCAGCCCTGTCCTGAAAGGGAAGATAATCCTCTGTATCTCAGGACTATTAACAGTTTTGTCATCTGCATCCATAGTTCTGTGTTGGGGATATTTGTACATAGGAAAATGCCTCTTAGTTCAGAGAAGCCTCCGCACACATGTCCAGCGCAGCAGCCTGTAGTACTAGGAGAGCTGAGATTCATGTCCTAGAGTTTCATGTCCTGACTTAAGGCTGGAACTGAAGCAGTGATTTGAGAGTCGTAGACCTTTTCCTGACTGGACCAGCTAGTTGACATGCTGCATCTGTTCTCTTGTTCTGCAGATTGTTGATAAGAACAACCGCTACAAATCCATCGATGGGACAGATGAAACCAAAGCAAACTGGATGAGGTGAGTCCAGTTCTCTTCTGCCTTCCCTTTTGGGGTTCTGTCTTCCAGAGAGAGGCCATCAAACACCCCTTGTTGTTTTGTGTGACAGAAAAACAAACCAAAGTGCCATGACCCCTTCTGTAAAGGGTGTGCTTGTGCTCTTTCAGTTTATTGTGGTGAATCCTTTGGAGTCAGATTCAATGAAAGGGACTAAAACAAGGATGTGTGTATGGAGGATGGCTATTTTCTGGAATGAGGACAAATGATAAAGATGATCCTATTTATCTACTCTTACAAATGCTGACAGGTCTCACTCCATTTTTTATTTTTTTTTACTTTATGTTCAAATATTTGCAAAATGCTTTGCATTATCCCCAGGGTAACATTTGATTCTGTTTGGGGTTTTTTTTGTCCTTTCCCATTTGACAGACATTGGAAGAGGTGCTTTTTTTGTTTGTTTCTGGGCTTCACTTGCAACAATTGTCTGTGGTGGCTGTCATCATAGTGTCAGCTTTACTGTGTTAGGAGAAACATGGAGTGAGTTGCTGCAGCTCGGAACGCAGAAATCGTGCGTGTGCTTGCGCTCCCTCTGCCGGCCCCGGGACTCAGCAGAGCAGAACCCCAATACCAGTCAGTACTGAACCAGGAGTGGGGCTGGCTCTGGTTTGTTAACTGCAGCAGTAAGGGAACATGTTTAACCATGCTGCAGTGCTTCAGGTATTGGTGTGTATCTGCAAAATGTATGTCACTCTTGCAGCCTCCTGAGGCGGAGGCAAAGCACTGAAGTGCCTCCTGCGTATGGAGAGTCGCCAGAATGGGGCATTGCTGCATACTGGTGCCCGTCCCACATTCAGACTGATCCTGCTTTCAGGGGTGAATTTTGGAAGCGGTTGTTGTCAAGAAGGCATTTCATGCAAGGGTAAAGCAGTGTGGGAACTAACTGGTTTGTTGGCCTGGATATCTAGGATTTTCAGTTGTCACTCATTAAGGGGAGAGAGAACATGAAGTACAGGTAGATGCAAGACTGACCTAGCTGGTCAAATCTGGTTGCACCACTTTTGCTCCATTTGAGTCTTCACGTGGATTGCAGCTGTTCTGACACTTAACGTTCATAAAGTTCAGCAAAGGATCTCATTTTTCTGTAAGAATTCCAAACATTACAGTTGTTCATTACTGGATGAGAGAAAATGCTAGACCTGGGCTGAGACTGGAGTTGTCGCTCCAAAAAGAAGCAGTGGTGCGGTGGACAGATAGGTAGGGGGATATATATCTTGAAGTAAAGAATGCAAAGTTCAAAAATCAGAGTGAGATTTTTCTGCTGGATCTTTATTTGATCTGGGTGACAGTGAAGCTGGGGGAAAACACAGTCTTGGAAAGCAAAAATCCTATGATGAACTCTTCTTCCTTCTGCCACGAACATGGGTTTAAATAGGCACTACTCATGGTCCCAGCACCAAAGAACAGAGTGTTCTTGTCTAAACTTGTGTTTGCCATGGTTAAGTCTCAAGACAAGTGTGGTCTGGACCATTCTCTACAGCCTTGAAAGGCAAGGAGGTTATGGTTTTGTAGAAAGGGGATGTTTGCAACTCTTCTGGGGAAGGGTGTATCAAAGGACCTGTGCAGGCTATACCAGTCTTGCTGATCTTTCTGGTTTTACTCTTGAAAATTGCTTCCAATAGCAGTATTATGTAGAGTCTGACTGACAGTTCAAGTGGAGATAGTGGTCCTCAAAAAGCCTTGGTTTGTTTGTTAGCAGTTTTCAGACAGAAGGTGCACTCGCTATCCAGTGCTAGGACATTACCTGTCATGGAGATTACCCACAGAAATTGTACTTCCAGGACGCTGTAGACAGCGCTCTTTTTGTTTTTCAGATGGTGCTCTTTGCCATCACTCACAGATGGAGTGCTTTGCAAAGCAGATCTACTCACCCTCTGGGTAGGTGGGTATGGCCTGGGGAGGGCAGCTTGGGCTGACTCCTCTCTCTTCTTGTAGATCTGGCTATTGTTTTTGTTGTTGACTACCCCATCTGAGTCCATTTTCATGTTCCCACTGAGGACAATGTGTACACTGCAGCACTTGCTGGTTTAATTTCAAGTGACTGTTTACCCAGGGCAGTGGATGACAGGGAGGAAGGAGTACGAAGCGTAGCAGATGGCATGGCAATGGTAACATCCTCTTGCCCTTTCCCTCTTCAGTCAGTCAGTCGAGACAAACTCCTGATGCTGGGAGCATGTTTTCCTAAGTTGGCTGCTGGCACGAGAATAATGCACCCTTCATCTCTGTCCAGAGTAAAGCGCTGTTGTTTCCAATACTTTATGAAACTCCACGGCTTTGACCTGCAGGGATGTGTGCAAACCTCTTCCTCTGTTTTTATTCTTTTGGGGGCTCAGGGTGACTGATTACCACGGATCACAGCAAACCTCAAGCGAAATTGGTGCTTTCTCACGCACAAACCATAAAACTGCTGCTGATGGGAGTTCTTGGGGCTTCTGAAGGATTGTGCAGAACCAGCGATTGCGCTGGCTACTTCTGAGGAAATTCTGTTATTCAATTTTTGGGGACCTCTAAAAAAAAAAAAAAAGGGTCTGACCAAAAATGAAAGGAATTCAGAAAGTCCAGGAAACATCCCTCTGGGTATGTATCATTTGGCCCAGACTGAGATGCAGGGTAGGAAGTACCAGCAAACTGGTGGTGCCTAACTGAATTGTTGAAGTGCCTCATGTGTGGGGTTTCCAGGCTAGTTTGGGCATTTATAGTCTGTATCCCTTCTTACATACGAGTACCTGAGTTCTCGGGCTTTTGGCACAGTTCAAATTCATCCTTTCCCTCAGCCCATGTGAAAAGGCTGGTGCAAGACTTCTTCACTTCTTTCTCCTTTGCCTTCCTCTCTGCCCCCTTTCCTCTCCAAACATAGTAACAAAGAGGTCATGAGGAGCAAGACTGTTCTGTAAGTCTTCCTGTATCTCCTTATAATGGAGATGTCTGCGATTAGATCTTCATACAATAACAGGGCTTGGAAGGGAGCTCTGGTCAAGTGTTCCAATGGCCTGCTCAAAGCAGATCAGCAGATCTTTTAAGTACTGAGCTACTGCTTTGATTTTACAGGACCTTTTAAAAATAAAAATTTTTAAAAAGTCAGGGTTACTGTGTACACCCATGTGTTCAGGGGGAGTAAAAGCCACCAGCCTATGCACAAGTCATTTCGTTGAACTTCATAAACTGGTCTTTGTTACCTTGCAGCAAGTGGAGCAAATGTTCTTATCCATTACAGACTGAAATTTATGCAGAGCAAAGGGATCGTAAAATACTGCAGGACTGTGATCCCTGTAAAAAAACTACTTTAGCGCCCTGGGAAAAGTTACATGCTTGTTTCTTAAAGGCAAAGAAAAGTGGAGCTGTTTGATATCTTTGTGGGGTGATCATTAAGTGCCCACTGTTCACGTAGTTTACAATGTCACGTGTTTTTAAAGAAATAGCTGTACTGTCTTGCACTTTCAGATTGACCTGGTCTGAGGTGTGAATTCACAGCCTCACAGCTCGGGCACCTCTGGAGCTTGATAAAACCCACACAACGTCCCCAGAGAAGTACTTCCAAATATCAGTGACTGCTCCTAGGGACATCCTGCACGCTAGTGGAAATGCATGAGGGGAAAAAGATGTCTCTGACAGTAATACTGTCTGCATTTTTATACAGAATAGGTTAATGTGCCTGCTGGGAACCTAACTTTAATTGAATTTGTGATTAAAACTGGCCAGAACTCATTACTCTTTGCATGGTGAGTTTGCTATTGGAATACTTAAGTTATCTTAAGTAGTTTTGACCCAAGTCATGCTGGAGCAAATGAGTGGAAACCCTGAAATCTGAACATCCAGGTCTATCACAGATTGTCCTAAGTGCACTTGGTGGGATACTTTGTCTGGGAAGAGCAAAAAGGGCTCTAATTCCTCATCAGTGCAGCTTTGCTAGGGATGGCAGCCATGGGTTCAACAGAGAAGAGAGAGTGCAGGTTTCCTGACCCTGCCAGCGGCTCCAAGCAGCTCGGGAGGGACTTCTGTTCTGCAAGCTCACCCCTACCCAGGGGCACTTTGCAGAATACTGTTACTCCTTTTCACCAGAGCAACTTGTCAGTGGAGGTTTGTTTCTACCACATGGAGGCACTGATTGTGCAGTCTTGGGTACCTGCGGAGAATATACATGAAACCCAGTTTTGCTGAACGTGATAAAAAATCAAAACATAAATGTTCCCTTGCTCAGTGTTCCACATAGCCTTTTCTCTCCTTCCAGTGTTCAGCTGGGAGAACTCCTTTTTCCTTTTAATTTTGGTTGGTTGTTTTTTTTTCCTTGAGGTCAGTTAGCAAGTGCTTTGCTGGCTCTCCATCATTTCGTTACCATCTTCCCTAAATGCTCCCTCAGTCCCTCCATAAATGAAGCTCCACCAAAACAGTATCTCAAGGATGCATTTACGTTTGTCCCAGTGAAATGCATCTGTGCACTTAGTTCCCAGCTCTCCCTGTATGTGGCCTGGATTTGAGCAGCATTTCCTACTGGTTTTCAAGCTTTAACCAAGGTTAACAGCCTCTGACACTTACCCCGATGGAGGACAGCAGTGTCAGTGAGATTCATTAAACAGCAGCGTAACAGCACTAAGGAGGAACTAGAACGACATCTGGCAAGGGTCACTCTGCCTTTCTGTAGGTTTTTCTTAGTCTGTGGCCCACAAGCACCTTTCACATGAGTGCATCCCAAACCAGCTCTCTTCTGCTAGGCCATGTCAGCACTGAAAGCCACCCATCTCTGACGAGGTGCCAGCAGGGCTATTGCAAACATGGGGCAAGTGGGGAAAAATGCTGAGCCCTTTGCTTATATGAGCTTTTCAGAAAGTATTTTGGGGTGGCTAAAGTCTGCCTGCAAGAGATAGGGCATTCAGGCAAGATTTTAGGATTAAATGTAATTTTTTGAAAGAGGAGGGTCTGAGCTATCCCAGCCAGAGTTTATTCCCACAACATTGCAAAGATACTAACAATAAGTCCTAAATTAAGTCTAGTATCTAGCAGATAGCATCTTTGGTTTCATTTAATTTAGGACCATAAGCAGAAAGAAAACTAATGCATAGGAGAGCCAATAGGTTTTCACTCCCGTGGTGTCACTTCAGAGTTACAGTTGTTAGGTGTCCTAACCATTAAGATGTCTTATTTCTTCTATGTTCCATCTTAATATCCTTTTAAAACATTAATTTTCTAGGCTTGTAGTGACAGCTTTTTGGGACAATTTATATTAACACTGAAGTCTTTTACCTCAGATGAGTGTTACGTTCTCCACCATAACTCCATGCTGATGTAGATTTCTATCCGAGAACTTCCTTTTAAAATATTAAGAACTATATGATATAAGCACCAAAAATGTTGACCTCTTTCAAAAAAGTTCCTGACATCCCTGCTTTTAATTGTTTGAAGATGTGTAAAAGCAGTCTTTTGTAATGTGTAGCACTAGAATAACCGTTTTGGCATTTTACTTCACTCTGCTATAATTCAAATCAAGGCATACACTAAGTTTTGCCAGCAGTTCTGCTCCTCCATGGCCTCTGATCTCTTCTGTGCTGTTCCGCATGCTTCTACACAGGCATCCACTGCCCAGGCTGTGGATTATTCCCCTGTCCGCAGTCCCACCTTGTTTATGTGCGAGACTGCATGTTCACACAGCCTGTTTTCTCCTTCCCTATTGAATAGATCTGCCACCTTCTTCCCCCCCCAATAAAAATCTATAGTTAGGACTAATGTTTTGTTTATTTTTAAAGTTTCCTTCGACTGTGGCTGGAAAAATTAACACACATACCCTTTGGACAAAACTGCTCGTTCTCAGGATGGCTGCCTCTTCTTCTCAATGGGCTGAGGCTACGAGTTGTTCATTTGAAGCGCCAGAAACTGGGTGCAGGCTCCTGTCAGCGGCGGTGACAGCAAAGCCTAGCCAGGAAAAACAAGTGGGTGGCCTCATTCCTTTTGAGAACAATGGGAAACGGCAACCATTTCTGGGTGAAACAAGAGCTTGCTGTGAAGCAGACGAATGCTGGATTTGCAGTACCCTTGGTGCTGAAGAAAAGACTTTTGCGTAGAAAAAGCGAGTTGCAGAAATTGCCCATGAGTCTAGTTGAAATGTCCCTCCCCTGGAAATAATCCAGTTTGATGTAGCCTCTGCATGACATCCTGCAAGTTTCAACAGAAAGGGTGGTCTAAAAGTTTCCGTTGCATGTTGTGACAGGCAGAACAATAAGATATGTTTCAGGCCTCTAAATTTCCTCGAGAACCCATTTTTGAGCAATGTCACCTTAGAAGCTAATTTGTCAATGTGATAGTGAGTTCTCACGCTTTTTTCTGTGCACAAACTGCGGCAAGCGATGTGAGGCTGTACTGAAATTCTCATACCTAAGTCAGGGCATCAGACGAAGTGTAAAATTTCATTTTAACTGTAAAGCTGAGAAGGCTCCTTCACACTAGTGTTGCTTGGTGTTTTTTTTCTTAAGCTTGAAAATTGCCTCTTAGAAACAAAACGGCTGCCTTTTCCTGGTGCGATTGAGGAAAACTGAGAGGTTGTTGCGGGTGGGGGGAGCTGGATCCCACCGAACTCCTCTGCCCCAGTGCTGCACTGGCCAAGTGGTTGGATGCAGGGGGATGCTTTGCGCTGATTTCCTTTTACCCAATTGTGCTTTGTGGGATGTTCAACCCAAGGAACATGGCTGAACGAAAGAGGAAGCCCAAGTTTTCCAAGGAAGAACTGGACATTCTGGTCACTGAGGTGACCCGAAATGAAGCCATGCTGTTTGGGAGGGAGACAATGCGTCTGTCCCATGCTGACAGGGACAAGATCTGGGAAGGCATAGCCAGGCAGATCACATCAGTCAGCCAGGTCCCCAGGTCTGTAAAAGACATTAAACACAGATGGGACGACATGAAGAGAAGGACCAAGGACAAACTGGCATTCATGCAGAGGTCCCTCTCCAGCCCCAGCAGCACGGGGCGGCCCTCGGCCATCGTCCTGACCGCCCACGAGAGAGCCATCGAGTCGACGCTGCATTCGTCACGCCAGATGCACGGCTTCCGGAGAGCGGATCTGGACGTGGTTGACAGCCCATCAACAAGCTGTAAGTATCATTGCCTTAACACCTCTTTGTCTTATGCTTGCATATCTCAGTTTGACACCAGAAGAGCGTTGTGTGTTTTGTGAGATGCTGGGTTGCCCGTCAAGCTAGGTCCTACTGCCGTGTTTGGTTTCAAGACAGCCTGCTCTGGTGATCGTGGGGTGTTGAGATGGCTTGAGGGAAGGCTGTTTCCAAGTTAAGATCATCTTCTATATCTGTTTATCTAGTCCTTTTCCATACTGTCTTCTAAGGGTAGACATTGTTCAGATTTGACTTTCTTAATGGGTTGTAAGTCTGAACTAATCCTACAAGTGAGGGAACATCCGTAGTTGAAGCCCAGCAACCTCCAGTCTGTGAAAAAGTGTTTGTAAAGGATTAGGAGTTCTTTGTCTTGCATGCACCCCAATAAAACAGCAATGCTGTAAAGCTGAGAATCATGTGCAAGTCACTAATAGATCACTGCATGGTAACCATCTTCCAAGAGGGCTGTTGGGGGGGCTCAGTGATCACTGGTGTTTGTGCTCTGAGGCCAGGCCGCTAATGATTTCTCATTAGTGGTCTGAAGGCTCAGCACAAGTGCTGTGGAAAAGGTAGATGATAATGACTCCCTTCTTCACTGTTTTTTAAGAAACTACTAGCCCTGCTTTCTAAGTTAATCTTCTTGCACCACAGTTCTCAGACACCTTCCAGTGCGGAACCACAAGCTGCTTTTTGCAGGTTCTTTGCCCAGTTGGATACATACAGTTTTCTTGTGTGGCGGTGCAGCTTCTTGGTCTGTGAGCTTTTAGGGATACAAAGGAGAGAGAGAGGGGATAACTTTTTGGGAAGTGAGCCGACCAACACTTCATGGGTGGCACTGTCCTACTGCGTTAGGTTTTATCTCATACCTGAAGTAATGTTAGTGGGAAGGCAAGGACAAAAATCTTCAAGAACTGACAAAGTGGGACTTGGTCATTCTTTGCATCTATCTTGGAAGCCAGTTATGCTATTTCAGAGGTAAAATGAATACAGCTTGTGCAAGGAGATAGCAGGCAGTTGCAATAAGTATCGTCTCTTCTTACTCTTGGTGTGCCTGTACCCATGAACTGGCACATCACTAAATATTCATCAGACTAATGAGAACTTTCCCATGGTGTTTTGCTTTGGTTTTGGTTTTGCATCGAGTATACTTGCCCTATTAACGTAGGGTCCTGTTGCTGCTATGCCTGACTGCCTGTTTATCTTAGTGATGCCAAACCACATAGTGGCTTTGCAGTACAGACTTTTCGAGCAGCAAATATTATGTCTATGCTTTTCTCAGTGCAGAGGGTGTAAGAAATGACAAGGGAACAGGGTTTTGGCATGAGGAACTGAATGTGTCAGGGTGTCCTGAGACCGAACCAAAGGCCAGGAATCTTTGTCCTTCCAAAATATTGGAGTTTTCTAGCTGCTTACGGTTTTGGGGAAGGGGAGTCATTGCTACTGTCTGAAATGGATTTATGTTCTAGTAATGAACAATACTGTGTACAGGATACCATGGCAGCTTGGATTCCTCCTCGGTTGACTGGGTTCGCCTGCTCTTCAGGCCTCTTAAGGCTAAGCTTGTCACCCAGATGCTAACATTGCAGCACATGCATGTTGAGTTATGCATCAGGAGCTACAGGCTTGTCTCAACTGGCAGACTGGGGGGAGGGGAAAACCCTTTTTCCATGTGCTTCGAGATACCTTGAAACAGAAGTCAGAGTTGTGAGGGATTTCACGTTAATAATTCATGCTTCCTCTTCTCTTTAAGCTGATGAAGACGAAGAGATGCCAGGCACTTCTCGGGAACACCGCTTCTCATTGCTGCAGAGGGCCAGTGCAGGAGTCAACCAGCTCTCCGGGCCCTCCTTCCTCCACACTTCTTCCTCATCAGAGCACTCAGAAGCTACCAGCCAAAGGCAGGAACTGCACCGTCCATCCCCGCGCACCACCTCGTCCTGCCGACCCCCGCACCCCCGCACCCGGAGTCCACCCCTCTCCAGCTTCGATCGCCAGCTTCTCCATTCCCACATGCAGCAAACAGACCTGTTCAGGCAGTTCTGCCAGGAGCTGGTGGCTATTCACAGAGACATGGCAGACAGCATGCATGTCATCGGTCAGAGGATGGCTGACCTCACCAGCCAGGTTGGCCAGATGTGCCAGACCTTATCGGAAATCCGCGATGGGGTCCAGGCTTTCCATAGGATACAGGATCCTAGTGTCATGCAGGGGTCTCTTCTGCAAGCAGCTTGCTCAAAACAGCCCCCTGAGCCCAGTGCAGAGTCTAACCAAAACCCCCCAAAACAGACGCCTTCTGCACGGACTACCAGGTCACGAAAGAGAAAACACCATTTTTAGTCTGCTTCATATAAAGTAAAGAAAGATGCCCCTTCCTGAGCTGCTGCATGCTCACATGGCCTCTCCATGTGTATCAGTACTCTGTGGGGAAGGTCAACAGCCGCCCCAACCCATCCATCCCCCTGCTAGCGAACAGAGCGGTATGAATTATGGCAGCTGAATAGTAGGGCTGGCCCTCTGCAATGGCAAAGAGGAATCTCAAATCTTAGAGAGCTTGGGTTGTAGGACATCTTTCTGTTCATAGAGATTAGGAGTTTTCACTGGCTTCCCCATGCTTTGAACGCTCTATAAGCTAAGAGAAGCAATAGGAATCATTATCTTGATCTCTTCTCGTGCCTGGGAAATGTTATTTACTGAGACAGTGTACTACAGAGCTCCCTTTGCAGTCAACCCACAAATTTACTCTACTACTGCCTTCCCATCATCTTCCTGCAAACTAGTATAGGCACTGTGCAGAAATACATCTTTATGGCTCTAAAGACTCTTATTGCTCATTATTTTTGTCTTGCATTCAGCAATAATGGGCAATCCAGGGCTTACTGTGACTTACGCACAGGTTTGAGGAGAGGGGTGTAAAAGCAGAGCTTGTGCAGGGAAGGGAAGAAGGCATGACACTGAGCACAAGAGGACAGGTCTGAGCACTCTGTGGTTTTAGACTGCTGAGAAGGGCTGCTATGGCACGTGCCTGGATCCTGCAGTCTCACATGCACTTACATCAAAGAGTTTAATATTTGTCTGCTCCAGTCTGAAACCCCTACCTACCCACCCTTCATGATTGCAGTTAAAATACAATTATTTCATAATATGACAACATTTAAAGAAAATTGTATCGTATTAATTTCTTGCATGTTACAATCTTCAGTTTTGAACCACCTTACCCTCTTCAAAATGTGAGAGACTGCACAGAAACAAGGAAAGATATAGGGCCTGCCTCTGACCTCAGGAACAGTTTGGTTTTGTATCACTGTAAGTCTGTCAACTTCAGTACAGTTTCTTTGCACTTACTCAGTGTTATTTAGGGTGGGATCTGTACTGTGTTCTCCTACTGTGAAGAGTTTACAATCTAAATTCACAGCTATATAGGTTAAAATCTTAGACATGTTGGTTTTGTACTGCTTTCTTTCCCCTTACAGATGCAAGAAAGACTGTTACAACATTTGAATTGCTTAGTGCTGCATGAGATTCCCATGTACAACCCCGATTCTGAAACTAGGCTTTAATAATGTCACCTCAGGTGGTGATAACATATGTGGCAGCTTTTTTACAAGATGTCTGTCTTCTCCTTGATTTGCACATCTGCACCTACCATGCTGCCCTCATCTCTGGAGTAATCTGGACTGTTACCATGATACGCTTCAGCAGGGAAAAGGGCCAAGGTGTTGCCCACACACAGTTAGCACGCCGCTGCTCTCCAGGCTGTCCTATTGTATGTGGAGGTGGGTTGCAGGAAACTATTCAAGTTAATATGAATGCGCATTGTCTTGCCATGTCTGGGCTACAGACTTGGCCAAAAAGTTGTATAAACTTCAGCAGGAATTCAACATAGGCAGTGCAGTATAGGAGAAGGATGGCTTGTTTTATGTGATCTTGAAGGATCTTCTTTAATCTGTCTGGCCTGTCCTTTGAAAGTATAGTGCACTAGCTTCTCTTCTGGAAAGTTCACTGTATGTCTGCTGTGTCAGGCATTCCTGACATGCTTTTCCTTTTTACTTTTTCATTGTTCTGTAATTTTAATTCAAGTAATTTATTTTTAGTGGTGCAGTAAAGGGCCCTTGGTCCAGGAAGTAGAGGTCTGGCAAGAAGAAAAACCTCCTTTCTGAGGAATGACCCACGCTGGTTTCATCCAGAGGACATTCCTCGTAGTGCTGGTGCCAGACAAGGGCAGTACTTGCTCACTTTCCTCCGAGGATGTCGTTTTACTTTTGTTGTAACATTTGTATTCTGCGAAAGTCACGGTCTCTCTTCACTTGAAGGGAAGATTGGGAAATCTGGTAGTAGAAGATCTAATTTATGAATCACAGAGAACTGAAAAAATGGTGGTATGTTTTAAAGGCTTTCTGAGTCAATATAGTGCTGCTGCTGTGTATTAGAGGTAGTATTTTATATTTTTATAATATTTGGTCCCTGCTGATGTTCCCTTAATGGATTTACTGATAGGATTAGCTCCTCTGATGTTGTTCGGGGGATCCCTTCTGGGAACCCTCAGGTCTGCAGAGGAGGAGACTCCCGCAGGTGCTGGGCACTGGAGGGAGTTGACATCGTCGCTGTCACCAGTTTGCCCACACAGACACGTTTAGAGAGAGAATCCTGGTGCAGGATGCACAGCCTTCAATAGAAGCCCCCAGAGGCTGGGCTCTGGTCAGGAGAAAGGACCTCGTACTATAAACTGCCTGATGTCTCCCCCAGTTTCCTCTGTGGACTATTACAGATTGGCCCAGATCTGGGGATGTATCTCCTGCCCTGTGTAGACCCCTCGATGGAGTGGCTTTTCTGTACTGGCTCGCAAAGGATACTCCCTCCTGCACCCATCATGTTAACTGGCTGTTGAAGTAAGTGCCTGTGTCAAAGCAAACTGCTGTGCTCAACCCCGGTATCTCCACATCTTGTACATGCTGAAAAAATTCTCCTTAAAAGTATTTTTATGAAGAATGCAATAAATATATAACCCTTTTAACACAGCTGCTGTGGAGTCATTTGTTTCTCTTGTACAATTTTTGCCTGAACTGGTAACAAGTTGCTGGGTCTCCTGGTGGTGCTCAGCGTGGGAGAGCTGAGGCAGGGTTTGCAGGTACGGTATCCCGTGGCGGTGGCTCTCTTGCCGGGCAGGATCTCCTGCCCTGGCTCTGTGCTCGACGTTGATTTGGGAAAAGCCGGTGGCCTTTTCCCTGAGGTGCTCTGCCCTGGCAGGGTGTCAGCGGAGCACCCCGGGGGAACAGCCGGAGGGTGGGCAGGGGGAGGCACGGGGCGCATCCTGGGGATGGGGGCGGCAGAAGCCTGAGCCTTCCTCCAGCCATGGGGCTCTCCTTCCTCCTCACCATCTCTCCTGGCTGCTCCGTTCCCCTCCTGGGGAGGAATGGTCTCAGCTGTCAAAAAATACCTTGATGATGTTTTTCTGGGCATGCTCACTGGGCCATCCCAAAACGTGGCAATTTGGTGTCCTGAGTGGGCTGTGGCTTAGGAAAAAAAAAAAAAGGGAGATGAGGATGGATTTTTGCTGCTAGCTAGAAAGGCTATGGGAAAGGTGGCCCTGTGAAGCAAGGAGCTGCGCCTCCGACAGCCACGGGGTTGATCCAAGCCCCAAGAGCTGCAAATGGGTCGTAAATGGTCTCCACTGGTGCAGCGGCTGGTCCCGATTAGCCTGGGCAGACTCTGTGGTGGTTCTTGAGTCCTGGCTCGTCCCAGGGATCGAGCGGGACACGAAATGACCTACTCGGAGCTGGTGGCAATGCCTGTCCGCAGGAACAGGGGCAACGCTGGGTGACTGGGTCTGCCCCAGCGGTGGTCCCAGCCCTGTTCTTCCACTGGGGATCGCGGTCCCTTGGGAAACCCGCTGTTCCAGTGGGGCCATGCCCGTCTGCGCGCAGTACTTGTGTCAGCGTAGCCGTGCCTGTCCTGGGCATCTAAACCAAAGCAGCCTTTTCGCCTCAATTCAGCTTGAGAGTTTGGCATCAAGGAGGGGGACTGGCTGCTTTCCAGCCTTCACGGGAAGGCTCGCTCAGGATGCGAGCGCTTCAGCCTGGGGAAGATAATGTCAGTGAAGGCAGACCGGTGCAGTCTTTTCCTCTCCTCAGCAGGCAGTTTGTGCCCTTCCCTAGCCAAGCAGGCTGCCGTTTTGTGGAGCAACTTCCTCTGTCCTCGGGAAATTTCCTGCCTCTAACCCGCGGTGAGGTGCCTTAGACTGACAGGTGGAATTTGGGTTTTATGCAATCCTTCGTAACCTGTGTCATTTGTGCCCCTGGGGTCGCTTTTGCTGGAGCTGGGCAGCGCTGGTTCAAAAAGCAGTTCATTAATGTGGATGATCTCATCCCCGTTTCTGTTACCTCAGGGAAGTATCACAGATGTAAAGCTTCCTCTCGGAGGGTAAACCAGTTACTAACTGCCAGCCGCTGTGAAGAAACGTGTTTGTGACCGGATTATTCCACCACCGCCTGTTAAGGGCTTTCTTCGTAGCTCCTGGTGAAATGGGCAGCTCCGGTCGCTGCAGGACGCAGGAGGGGAGCGTGCTGCAGGGCTGCAGCAGTACTGCAGCTCGCAGCCTTCAGCCTGCGCTCTCCTCCCAGCTCCCCGCCGTGCCCGGAGCAGCTGGAGCCGCAGGACGCAGGCGGCGGAGCTGAAGAACGCTCTCGGGCAGAAACTTGAAGGGCTTTAGAGGCAGGAGGAAAGCAAAAGGGAAAAAAGCATGCTCATGCTTGATAAAATAGTTCGTAATAAAAGCAAGCTCTGATAGGAATAGTTAACCAGGCTCTCCCCTTCCCATGCGAAGTTGTGGTTTAGAGAATTTTCTAAATCTTGCTGTCAAATGCAGTTTGCTGGGATTGCACCGGACCGTCCTGCCGCTGCCCTGTGAATTCTTCAGTGCCGCTGGCTGTGGGGATGTGGGTCCTCTATGTTGTATTAAGGAGCCGTGAGCAACTTCAGGGTGATAAATCTTTGCAGGTAGCCAGGCTCCTTCGCAGGGGCAACCTGATCTTGTCATTGCTCTCGCCGATGTTTGGGCAGCGGGATGCAGAGCAGCTCCAGAGTCTCTCCTTAGCCGGCACTGGGAAGCATCCTGGCATTTTGCTGGGACTGGGGAGAGCGTCCTCTAGGATATCCCGTGCTGCAGAGCATCAGAATGACCACAGCACATCGCTGTGTCTCAAGGGTTGCATATCTCGTGGCTGTCTGAATGCCTGGTAACACCTTTTGTGGAGCGATCGCTAGCACCCAAAAGTGACAGCCTGGCAGCACTAGCTGTGTGCCGTTGCAGGACCTCCTTCCCACCGCGCTGGTCCAGGCATCCGTCCTTTCTCAAATACACAAACCGGTGGTTTAATAGTTCCTTTGTTTTGTGATCAAAAGTAACTTAAGGGTTAACAAAAGCCAATGTTTGGCTAATTTTGGCAGTGTCAGAGCCTGCCGTTTAAATAATTACTGAAGATTGCATAGCATCCTGGGTAGCACACATTAGGAAAAATACAGCTGATTGCAGGCACATGCACAGTTGCTTAACATTAAAACCAGAATTGCCGGAGCCTTGGGCAGTCTGAGACACTGCCGACTTGTTTTCTGTGTTTTGTGGGAAGTTTCACCAAGTTTGTGACCCTGTGTGTGTGGGTTGGCGTGATCACATGCAGGTGGGCTTGTGTCTTTACCTGTGCATGCATGTGGCCAGAGAAGGGGAGAGCATTCAAGGAAAAATTGACAGATTTCTTTAGCTGAAGAAAAACCTGTGAGCTATAAGGGAGTGTTTGGGCAAGGACTAGTAGCAGCAGATGTCAGAGGAGCCATTTGCCGCTCGCCTTCATTAAACTTACTGCAGCAGGGAGTACTGAATAGTAAAGGCAAATGGCATAAGAGGAGAAAAAGCTTTTGTTTAGCTGTGAACCGTTGAGATCTGCTCTTGGGTCTGTATGTATGGTGACAGGGCCTCCTGCTGGTCCTGGGTGGGTGTTACGAGCTTGTATTGGCAGCAGCTGGAACCAGTATTACCAAGCCTTTTTCATGTCCTCTAGCAAGAACATGAGGAGTGTGAGAGCAAATAATATGATCCTAGCTGTAGATCTCTGTCTTACCAAGTTGCACAGAGGGCCAGTTGCTTGAAGTGGAAATAAATCTATTTCTGCTGAGATGAAATTTAGCTGGTTTAAATCAGGAAAATAAATCCCTGTCAGCACTGCCAGGAGAACCCCATAGCGTGGTGCTGGACTTTCCTGAGACTTGCAGGGATGTTTGTGTTTTTATGTCACACCCCGCTGAAAGCCCAAATGCAAAACCTTCCAGTACTGGCATGTCCTTGGTTTCCTTTTGGACAACCAGCGAATACCCCCGTGCACACGTTTCTGTCCGGAGTACCTCAATTCTGCTTGTCCGAAAGGAGAGAAGCAAGGAAATCTGGTATCTGCTAAAAAGGAAGATGGTGTTTGGGGAAAGGAGACAGGCAGAGGGACCCTGCCATATTCCGTATGTTCCTGAGAGCAAGGGAGGAGGCCCTGGGATGTGAAGTGATGGTGGGGAGTCCAGAAGTCCTTGTTTCCATCGCTGGGCAAAGATATTTATGCCCGCAAGAGTCCACGTCGCCTCTACTGGCAGGTACTTCTTCAGGTTGGATGTACATTGGTGTCATCCCTTCCCCAGCAGAAATGGACCCGCTGGCTTAGTGTTCCCTGGGTGTCCACGCTCGTCGTCCTGTATCTCTGGCAGTTTGCGCACCATTACTTACGCCTCCATGCTTTCCAGTCTGGCTGTGTTGATGGCTCTCTCTGAAGGTCATTCTGGCTTCATTGTGGTTGTCATTCTTGTGCAAGGGTGGGCACAGGAGAGGAGTTTGCGCTTCACGCCTGCCTTGTCGCCTCGCCCTCAGGTACGTGATCATCTCCCGGGAGGAGAGGGAGCAGAACCTGATGGCCTTCCAGCACAGCGAGAGGATTTACTTCCGCGCCTGCCGTGACATTCGCCCTGGGGAGAAGCTGCGGGTCTGGTACAGTGAGGATTACATGAAGCGGTTGCATAGTATGTCCCAGGAGACCATCAACAGGAATCTCACAAGCGGTGAGTCCCTTCCCTTCCCACCCTCTCCCCCGATCCCCTCGGGCTGCCACGCTTGTTGGACCGAGTGTGGTGGGTGAAGTAGGCGACGCGCAGGCTGTGCAAGGAGAGCGCTGTATTTCTAGAAGCAGAGCGCCTCTGGGCGAGAGCGCTGCGTGGCATGGATGGATGGGTGTGCGAGAAGAATAATGCAGCCACTGCCGTGGCGATCATGAAAGAAGGATTTGTGCTGTGTCGTGTCGTGTCGTGTGTCGTGTCGTGTGTGTGCTGCAAGGGCCTGATGCAAAGCCCCGGATGACAGAGCTCCTCTGTCACAAGACTTTCTGGCCTGACGATCGCCAAGGCGGTGGTCCCACAGACAGGCATTAGGTTTTTCTTCTGAACGTGCTGCTTTCTCTGGGTCCTGTGAGCAGCCTGTTTGAGTGAGCTTTGGCTGGTTCTGTGTGCATATGAAAGAGAGATTTCCTTGGTGTGTTTGTATGTCCATTTTCCTCGCTTAATTTATCTCCTCTTTCTTCAGAAAGATAATTTGGGATCAGCGCGACATCAGCTAGAGACTCCTTAGTCTCACAACCTTAGAGTGCATGTACAACATACAGGAGGCTGTGTACTTGTCAGACTGATTCTTCCCTGGATAAAAATTGTTATCTTGAGAGTAGCCATGCTGGAACAAACCCAGCGGTCCTTTAGGTCAGTGTAATGTCAGCAATACAGGAAGCCTTAGAGAAGGCAAAAATTCTTAATGCATCTCTTCATCTATACAATGCTGAGACCTGAAGTTAATTAAGGGCATTTCTTTCCAGGCCTAGCCACAGAATGGCAGGGCCTCAGAGGGGCAGCCACACTAAATATAACTTTCTAATTAAGGTTCTTGTGTATATTATTACACAGCTGCTGTTGCTGCCTTGACTTGGTAAAAGGTGTCTCCTCTTTAATCATGGGGTGGACAAGATGTCCTGAAAAAGCTGGTTATCCTCCATCACCTTGGAGTTATTACGCACTTGCAGTGTTACCTCTTGATGGCTGTACTTGGGCAATTCCCATTTCTGAATTAACATTGTTATGAATGTGCTTTTTTATGTTAATGAACATCACTGAGTGATTAGGTACAGGCTGCAGTGATTTTGCTGCATCCCATGCACACGTTAGTTGTCCAGATGGCTTAGTACTTTCTGAAAGTATCGCAAGAGAAGGACTGCGCCCTCGGAGCAGCTGCTCTGGAGGGGCACCAAGGCTACGAGCGGTTGCCCTGCCATACAGACATGCCTTTAGTCATGGTTTGTCACGGTGCCGTGGTTTGTGGGAGCTGAAATGGTAACTCACAGCCTGCTTTGTGCTGCGAGTGTGGTGAAGATCTCCCCTGGGCTCCTCAGGACCTGCCATAGCCTACCACACGCTCGGGTAGAAACCCATGTGGCTGCGGAGACCATCCTAGAAACCCCACGACGTCTCGGTGACCTCATCCTGCGGCAAGCTGGGCTCAGCCTGCGTTCGCAAAAGCAGCACAGAGACGTTGTTAAAACGGAGCATCGCTTGAGCCGTTGCTTGACTTGCGAGAGACATCGCAGCCTCAGCTGGGAGGGCACTGGGAGGTGGTCAGGGAGCAGCACCAAAATCCGTTGAGTCACTTTCTATTTAAAAGATTTCATTCAAATCTCCTGCAGATGAGCCTGCCGAGTGAAGAGGCACGCTTTATTAACTCACAGAAAAATAACGTGGTTCCCGGGTATTGTTTCTGTTGGTAGTTTCTGACCCGCCTCGTCAGTGGAGTCGAGACCAATAATATGAGGCATTGTCTTGTGATTTCTGTAGCTTTTCCATAGGGCTGAGCCACTCGGTTGGTTGGGGGAAGAAAATCACTGAGAAAGAAGAAGAATCCATTCACTAAATCCCTACCTCTGCCAGTAGCTGTTTTAGTCTGTAACAGGGGAAATACTAGGGCAGAGACTCAAAGCTTTGCCCATAGAAATTCTCGTCAATGTGTTGAAAACGAGATCTGTTGTTACGGATTCGCTCAAGAAGTGGCCGGGTTTGCCAGCCAGCATCCAAACCCAGTGCAAAATCCCTGCCATTCGGGCCAGCCCTTTTTACGGTGCCTTACTCTAACTGTTTCGAGTCTTGCATCTTTTCTGCATTCTTAGCATTGCTCTCCTTAGAGAGGGAATGGTAGCTTTTGCTCCGTAACTCTTACGAAAGCATGAATACACTTTAAAAGCAAACAAAACCAAAAATCAGCATAAAGCAGCGTCTTGTTTGGGAAGCCATCAATGCTTGAAGTTATTTACAAGATAGAAGAATGATGGAAATTGAGCCAATCCTATCGTCTTTTGAATTTCCAGGTAAGGAAATCTGGCTATTCCCTTTATTTTAAGCAATTAATAATTTGTATGAGGTTGCTTTTATTATTTTTTTTTCTTTTAATCACTGAATGGCCACGCTCTTAGACTCCACCGGGACAAGCTAGAGGTCCCATCCTTGGAGGGCATTCACCCGTTGTAGTTCAGTTGACAATGAGTACCTTGGGGTTTAAGAGTGCAAGTTATTTTTACTCCTTTACCTTTGCATTTCTGGAGCAGCCTCCAAACTGAACGAGAGTAAAGGGGCTTGCAAACTTTGTGCGGTGGCGTGCACAGACGCTGGGGTTGTCATGAAATGGTCCACATCTCTCGCTGCACTGCTGTACACTTGATACCTTTTACCAAGTCAAAACAGACACAGGTCTTCCAGCCAGCCGAAATGGCGCTTGGGCTCTGGGTGTTAGGTTCCACCGCGATCAGTCATTCACCTCGTAGTCTCCTTCTAGCTCAGGTTGGTTATACCTTTAGGCTAAACAAGCTGCCTGTAGTTTCTCTTCTCTTTAAAGTGTGTGGGTCCTACTCTGCTGTGGCTACCCAGGACTGTCTCTGTTTTTGCAGACGTGCCCATTAGCAGGGCTCCTCCTCTCGCGAGCCTCGGTTTCCACTGAGTTGTGTCAGTTCCCTGGCTTGTAACGCAACGTGCAGACCTGCAGGGGTTCAGCCTACCTTTTTGTTCTTTTTTCGTTTGAGTTTTAGATTGAGGGATGTTGCTCGGTTCCCGGTGATAATCCCCACCCCTCGTTTTCCTTTCCAGGAGACAAAAAGTTGCAGAGGGAAAAGTCAGAAAAGAATGTGGAAAACCAAGAGGACGCAAGGGGGCCGCTCCAGCTTGCGACCTTCAAGCAAGGGAAGAGCCCCTACAAGCGCAGTTGTGACGAGGGGGAATCCCACCCCCAAACAAAGAAAAAAAAGATTGACCTCATCTTCAAAGATGTTCTGGAGGCTTCCCTGGAATCTGCAAAATTTGAAGAAAACCAGTTAGCAACGAGTACACCGGTTTCCCTCAGAAAAGCATCTAAATACCAGGCTGAAGACATCTTCGAGAGGTGTGGCGGTGCCATGCAGCACGGCTCCCTGAACCTTGGCAGAAACCGGAGCGAGGGGGAATGGAAGGTCCCCCACGGTTCCTCTTTCAGCTCAGCCAAAGAGGTGGGCATCCTTGAAGATGAGGAAGAAGAGCCCCTGTCACTCCCAGCAGACAGCCCGACTGAGCTGTCACTGGCCTCTGCACAAGGCAACTCCCACGAAATCCCCACCACCTCCTTCTGCCCCAACTGCATCCGGCTGAAGAAGAAAATCCGGGAGCTGCAGGCCGAGTTGGACATGCTGAGATCTGGGAAGTTACCCGAGCCACCTGTGCTACCGCCCCAGGTACCCGAGCTCCAAGAGTTCTCGGACCCCACAGGTAAGCCTTGCCGAGTAACAGCATTCTCCAAACCCTGCCTAAGGAGAGTAGTGAGATGCCTGTGTGCTGTGTACCCATCTAAAGCATTTTGCTCTGAGTATTCAGGTGAATGCGTGGTTCCATGGAAGGTTCGTTGTCAGGTTTTGTGACCGGGTGGGCCAGGAGCTGACACAGCTGTGGGCACAGTGGAAAACACTGTCTGGGAAAGACTCTGTATGACAACTTGCTCTATTTGTTGCCGTTGTAATCGATAATGCACTGCCAATAAAAAAGACATTCCATTGCAGACAGTTTGTTTGCTGTATTTTTGATGCATTCTCTTTCAGCGGAAGTCCCTCCGCAGTGCCTCACACGCTACCGAGAAAGTCTGAATGACTCTGTGGTAACACTGAAATGTGCGCTCTTTGTGTATGAAATGATGTCCCGCTGTGTCCCTTGTTGGAAAGCCCTCTCTGTTTCCTCCACTGCCTTAACACAACCATGTATCCCTTTCTGAAGATACGTTTCATTTCCTCCAGGAACGTGCTGTCTAGCAGCCAGGAGCCTTCATCAAAGGGAATATTTGGGTCACACCATGTATTGTGCAAGTGGCCAGGATGTAGTGTCCTTTCTTGCTGTCCACTGTGGCTTCTTGGAGACAAAGTTCATATGCAGAAACATTGATTTTTTTATTTTTTTTTTTTTTTCTCTTCAAAGCCATGATTCAAATTCTACCCGTAGCGCGTTGTGGACAGGAGAGGGCAGGTTGTGGCCAGCTCGTCAGGCAATGCTCTACTGTCGCCAGTAGGATGCTTCTCTAGCTCAGCAACTTTGCAAATACCATATTTTTTCCCTTTCTTTTTCTTACAGCTTCAGAAAGCATCATCTCTGTTCCCACCATCATGGAGGACGATGACCAAGAGGTGGATTCCGCTGATGAATCGGTTTCCAACGACATGATCGCTGCTACAGACGAGCCTTCCAAGATGTCTTCTGCGACGGGCCGGAGGATACGGCGGTTCAAGCAAGAGTGGCTTAAAAAGTTTTGGTTTCTGCGGTACTCCCCGACATTGAATGAAATGTGGTGCCACGTCTGTAGGCAGTATACAGTGCAATCCTCTCGGACTTCAGCCTTCATCATTGGCTCAAAGCAGTTCAAGATACACACGATAAAGCTTCACAGCCAGAGCAACCTCCACAAGAAGTGCCTGCAGCTTTACAAGCTCAGGATGCACCCAGAGAAGACAGAGGAAATGTGCCGAAATATGACCCTGCTCTTCAATACGGCGTACCACTTGGCCCTGGAGGGCAGGCCCTACTACGACTTTCGGCCTCTGGCAGAACTACTGAGAAAGTGCGAACTCAAGGTGGTGGATCAATACATGAACGAGGGAGACTGCCAAATCTTAATCCACCATATCGCCCGGGCTCTTCGAGAGGACCTGGTTGAACGCATCCGACAGTCTCCCTTCCTCAGCATCATTCTGGACGGGCAGAGCGACGACTTGCTTGCCGACACGGTTGCGGTTTATGTGCAGTACACGAGCAGCGACGGGCCTCCGGCAACCGAATTCCTCTCTCTTCAGGAACTCGGCTTTTCTACAACAGACAGTTACCTCCAAGCGTTAGACAGGGCTTTTTCGAGCCTGGGAATACGATTGCAGGATGAGAAGCCAACTATTGGCTTGGGAGTCGATGGTGCTAACGTTACCGCCAGCCTGAGAGCCAACTTGTTCATGACAATCAGAAAAACCTTGCCCTGGCTTCTCTGCCTGCCCTTTATGGTGCACAGGCCCCACTTGGAAATTTTGGATGCCATCAGTGGGAAGGAACTCCCGTGCCTGGAGGAGCTAGAAAACAATTTGAAGCAACTGCTCAGTTTCTATCGTTACTCTCCCCGACTCATGTGCGAGTTGAGGGTCACTGCTGCCACTCTGTGTGAGGAGACCGAGTTCTTGGGGGACATTCGAGCGGTGAAGTGGATCATTGGGGAGCAGAATGTGCTCAATGCTCTAATCAAGGATTACCTTGAGGTCGTGGCCCATCTCAAAGACGTCAGCGGCCAGACCCAAAGGGCGGACGCTTCTGCCATTGCCTTGGCCCTCCTGCAGTTCCTGATGGACTACCAGTCGATTAAACTCATCTACTTCCTGCTGGATGTGATTGCTGTGCTTTCACGCCTTGCCTACGTCTTCCAAGGGGAGTACCTTCTTGTGTCGCAAGTGGACGATAAAATAGAGGAGGCCATCCAGGAGATCAGCCGGCTAGCAGACTCACCCGGGGAGTACTTGCAGGAGTTTGAGGAAAACTTCCGTGAAAGCTTTAATGGCATTGCTGTGAAAAACCTACGGGTGGCCGAAGCCAAATTCCAGTCGATCAGAGAAAAGATCTGCCAGAAGACCCAGGTGATCCTAGCCCAAAGGTTCGATTCCCGTAGCCGGACATTTGTGAAGGCCTGTCAGGTGTTTGACCTTGCAGCTTGGCCCAGAAGCACGGATGAGCTCATGAGCTATGGGAAGGAGGATATGGTACAAATATTTGAACACCTGGAGACGGTCCCATCATTTTCCAGAGAGGTTTGCAGAGAGGGGTTGGACACCCGAGGGAGTCTGCTGATGGAGTGGCGAGAACTCAAGGTGGATTATTATACCAAAAACGGTTTTAAAGACTTGCTCAGTCACATTTGTAAATATAAACAGAGATTCCCCCTCTTAAATAAAATAGTTCAGATCCTCAAAGTCCTTCCCACCTCATCGGCCTGCTGTGAGAAGGGGCGCAACGCCCTGCAGAGAGTGCGCAAAAACAACCGCTCTCGGCTCACGCTGGAGCAGCTCAGTGATCTTTTGACAATTGCCGTTAACGGGCCGCCTATTGCCAACTTCGATTGCAAAAGGGCGCTAGATAGCTGGTTCGAGGAGAAGTCGGGCAATAGTTACGCACTGTCAGCCGAAATGCTGAGCAGGATGTCGTCTCTTGATCAGAAGCCGATGTTGCAGAGCATGGACCATGGCTCTGAGTTTTACCCCGATATTTAGGAAGGAATGCCTCAGATCAGAAAGCTGTTGAATAATTTTTTTAATCTATACTCTAAACTTTGGTATATTATATAAAATATATATATATATTATATATATTAAGGAAAAACCCACACTGAAAATTTAAAATTTAAGACGATGTGCGTCTGATAGAAGCTAAGCAGAATTTTAAAGATTGAGACAATGTTTAGACATTTACTGGTGTCTCCAACCATGGCAGCTGCAGTGTAGGTGGCAACATTTCATTCTTTAGAAGCATGTGCTGGGGCCATACTCTACATATTCAAACCTAATGATCTATAAGCTAGACGACGGGTCTTTGTCAGCCTCATCCTCCCGGTGGTTTCCTTTGTATGTGTGTTGTCGGTTTGTTGGGTTGGTTTTTGTGTTGTTTTGTTTTGGGGTTTGTTTGGTTGTTTTTTTCCTCACTTGGTTTTAATCTCTGCCTCTCTTTCCGTTGTTCAGTCCAGTTAATGAGCCATTTGAGCCTTTTGTTGATGACCGTCAGATTTCTGATTTCCGACAGAGCATCCCGTGCGTTTATGTTGCCCCCGGCTCTCCAGCTCCCCCCAGTTCTCTTCACTCGAGTGGGAGCTTTCTTCACTCACAGAGATTACTGGCAGGAGGGAAAGGCTGGGGGCATGATTTTGGGTTTTTCTTCTGATTTAGAAACAAATGCCTCCACTAAACTGTGATGCCCCTTTCTCAGTTCTCCCTACTTTTGGGCTGTAGAGTAATACTTGGCTTTCAGCTCCTTTTATGATAACCGTAGTACCAGTCTATCATACGTATATTATAACATGATGTCATGTGCAGACTATAAAATAGCAAAATAGAGAAGGCAGGGGGAAATTTTTGCATTTATATTTTTATATTGTAGGAGATAAAAATATATATATATACAACTATTCATTCAAAACCAGGGCTGCTGTGGAAGCTAGACAGCCAATGAGTCAAGAGCCATCTCTGGGTGGAGATTCAAAGGCTTAAAAAATTATATTCTAATTTACATTATTTATACTATGTCTTTATAATCCTAGATTGTTGTGGGTTTTTTGTTTTGTTTTGTTTTGTTTTGTTTGGTATGACTGAAAGAAAAACCTGCTGCAGTTTGGTGGCAGGAGCTATCAATGCAAGATTATCTTGGATTATATTCATGTGATGATGTTGTACAAAGGTTCACGTATTCTCTTGTGACCAAGGTAACATGTTCCACAGCACAGCAGACTGATGACAGCAGGAAGGAGGGATGCTCTGCTTCTTCCCGCAAAATATTTCTTCCTTTCTTGAAGGGATGCGGAGTCCAGCTGAAATGTGAATGGGGGACTGGCACCTTCCATCACAAAGAGATTGTTCTGTGGGCTTGGGGTTCTTCTTTGTTTTATTCTTTTAAAGTAAATGAGCTCCAGGCATTCACACAATATCACTTCAGGTTAGAAAAGCAAAAAAAAAAAAAAATACCAAACAAAGAAAAAAAAACCACAAACAAAAAAGGTGCAAAAACTCCACAGATGCTAGTGCCTTGCCCCGCTGATGTGGCATGGACAGCACCAACCTGACCAGACCATCGTGGGAGTGAGAACCTGTTGTCCAGAAGGTGTCTGAGCCGACATGTTCTCACTTCCCGGAGGGACGAGCTTTGTGCCAAGCTGTGTTGTTTGGAAACATGATGGTGGTATCAGCAACACTGAACCTTTCCTTTCTCCTGTTACCCCCCTGCCCTTGGTCTTGGTGCTAAGATATCTCTAGAACCGTTGCTGCTAGTTGATAGCTTTTCATTTATATAAAAATATATATATATATATAATATTATTTTATTTTTTAAACTTTTTTGTTTGTTTTCAATGGAGATGTAGCATGTTTGGAACCGATCTCTCTCGGAGTCACTTTCACTGCCAGGGTTCACGCACTGTCTTCCCCACGAAAACACGCACTTCTACCTAGGTCTCGCTCACCTCCTGCTAACCCCTTTGCCCTCGGCAGAACTACACAGCCAGCGCCGGGCAGAGGCGTGCAGCCAAGCCGCTACGTACTGGCTCCGCTTTCAGACCCCACGGGAACAAGCTAGACCGGTGTCGGTCAGAGTTTTGGAAGTGGTTTTTTCCCCTCCGTCCCTATGGGACCGAGGAGGGACCGAGCCCACCCGCAGCACGAGCGGTGGCCGATCCTTGCGTCCCGACGCTCCCCCTTTTGCCGGAAAATGGGGCTCCTTGGCCAGGCGGTCCGAGGGGAGTAGAGCGGACCCCGCGAATGTCAACGGCAAGGGCTGGGCAGGTGGGGTACCCTCCGTAGCACTTAAACTCCCTGTGTCCCCTCTGCCTTACCTCGGATGATGCGCACAGCCCCCGGGCTGGATGGGGCAGGACCTGGGTGGGGGGCACCTGCGCCGGGACCACCCGCCTGCCGCCGAACCGCCGGCGGGGATGCGGGCGCCGGGCGCTTCTCCCCGCGATCCTCACGGAAACGTCGCAAAATAGGTCAGGGCGTGGCGCCGTCGCAGCGCGGGGGCATCGATATGCAACACCTAGCGAGCAAAAAAAAAAAAAAAGGCTTTGTTCGCATTTTGTTTTTTCCTGTCTTTCCCAGTAAATGGTGTGATCAAATTGGCCCATTCGTCTAGAGGAGTAAAAATTAAACTGGAAGCCCTCCGCCAGCTGTGGAGACTTGGGCAGTTGTTGTTTGTCTGACTGTAAAATAGGGATCTCTCCACGCCGAGGTGCTCGTAGCCCTCCAGGCTGGTGAATCGGCTCCGCTCATGGTGCCGCCGAAAAGCTGACAGAGCTGCTCCCTGCCGGGGAGACGGCAGGCTCCCTCCTTGGTTAAAATTTGAGGGGATGTAAAAAGAAAACAAAAGATAAAAAAGGTAGAAAAATAGCTGCTCCGTTAGTCTCTGACCTGGAGGTGGGCAAGGTGAACGTAGGTGTTGGAGACCAGAAGTGAATTGATGCAGCGGGGGGGAATGGGCAGGTGGGGGAGAGTCTTCCTTGTCGAGATGGCACGTGGCAGCAGAAGCAAAAGTAACGAAGATAACTTGATTCTAGCTGCTGTGGCTGTCGGAGAGGCTGTAAAGACAAGTTTCCCTCCTCCCCTTTTTTTTCATCTCTTTCCTTTGCTCAACTCCGTAGCTCTTTGAGGCGGGGGGGGGGGGGAACCCCCTGCCGTTCTGTTTGCAGCAGTGAAAGCTCCTCGGCACGGGGCTCTGTCCCAGAGGCCGTCTAAGTGCCTGGCCTACGTGGAGGGAAGGGACACTTGGAGTCTCCGGACACCTTTGCAGACAGGATCGCTCCCCCAGGGCTTGTGCTGAGCCCCCCGAGAGGCCTGTTTACAACTCCTGCTCTGAGCCTCTTTACTTTTGCCTCTGGGGAGAAAATGGTGCCTTGCCTTGTCGGCAAGGTAAGAGCTGCCAGTCGCTCGTTCAGAAGCGATTCCTCTAATTTGTCACCCCTTTCCTTCGGTTCGTTCGCAAATCCCGCTCTCACCAGTGACGTCTTTCTCTGGCTGCTCTTATTCCTAATGGCAGAGCCAAATGTGCAGCGAGTGGTGTTTTTTCGCCAGGCGGCCAGCCGGCAAAGGGACGGCGCTTATTTCTTTTGCAAATAACTTTGTGCGCGGTGTGGGTAGGAAGCGTGATTCCCTGCCACGGGATGTCGTGGGTACCCACGATGGGAAGGGTCAGAGACCCCTTGCTTTGGCGATGGCTGGCCCAGCCCAGCTCCCCCAACACCAACAATTCCCCCCCCTTCGCCCCCACGTCAGAAAAGACAAACAGAGGCGCTTTGCAAGCTTTCCCTCTAGGTTCACCCACCTATCTCAGATCTCTAGCTGTTACTCCCATGGATAGTCTGTGGATGGAGACGTGACTGCCGGCATGAAGCAAGCTAGGGAGGAGGGAGAAATACCAATGCAAAGTGCCCCCGGCTTCCCAGTGCCCCGCCTGGGAGCAAATATGTGTCTGTGCCCTGTTTGCAAACCCCAGGGCCCGGCCGGTGGGGGGGGTGGGCGGCAGGCATGGGGAGGGCTTGGCATGGCGCAGAGGGAAGCCTCCTTGGCTCCGAGATGGCCGCGCGTCGGGTTTGATCGCTGCCTTTCCTCCTGCGCTGGGCGAGCGAGAGGAGGTCGTTCTGAACGTGTTGCTCGCGGCATCTTGAACAGCTTTGGCTGCAAAGAGAGAACGGTTTAGTTTTTTCTCAAACGAGCTCTTTATTCTCTCCTTCCTCCCCCCCGCCACCCCACGTCTTAGCTGTGGCATCTGACTGTGAATAATGCACACTTCTCCAGACCCTCGGGTTTGTATTTCTGGCCCGTGGGCTTTTTGGTTGCCAATTTCCCCCTCCCCACTTTTTGCTCAGGCTCCGTGCCTCTTTTTACCCTGCTGGGAAGCAGAAATCCATGAAGCACATGCAGACATGTCCTTCTGCAGGGCTCGCCAGTGGCCGCAGGGGTCCGGGCCCTCCAGCCACGAGACCGAACTCAGCAGGGATAATCCTCGCAAGAGACCAAAGCTCTTCCCATACCAGCAAAAGCACGCGGGAGCCACGGGGGGTGGGGGGTGGGTTGTGAGGGGACGAGGTGGACGGGGTCCCGGTGTGTCGTCTGCCTCGGGTCTCGAGCTGACCTTGGCGATGTCCCCCGTGCTGGTCGCGCTTTTGCTGATACGGCTCCTCAGACGTGATTCAGGCTCGGTCCATCTCTTTCTCGCAGCACAAACTCAACCGGGTGGCCCGCGGGGTCTTCGGGGTCCCCCTTTCTTTCTTAATCTCATGAGGATTGCTGTTTGTTTGACCGGTGGGCAGGACAACCGAGACAGCCGGCTTGCAAATAAGCAGCAACAGCCTCTGCTTTTGCAGATTCCCCTCTCAGCCCTGTCGAAAGAGGTCTTAAAAGCAGAGAAATGGTACGTTGCTCCCCCAGCCATTGTATTCAATGCAGTAATGCCTATGCAATTCCTGTCTCCCTTGGAGACACGTATGATGTGTGTGCATGTAAGCTAGTGTATGTATACAGTACATATGCATATGGTCTATATATTGTATATACGCACATCCCAGTACATATACACACAGTACAAAAGATTAAAATCACATGCTTATATATCTATAAATAAAATCCTATATATTTATATATTTCTATGTTTTCAATAGATATAAAGATATAATATAGAGATAGACTCAACCACCCTTGTGTAAGGCTGGCCCTGTGTTCTGGCACAAGGCACGTAACACTGAAGACTTTGGACTTTGGGATAGTTTTAGCCATACACTGAGGCCTACATTTACGTGTATAGCACTCTACGGAGAGGGGCTTTGCTGTGGTTAGGGCAAGGGGTTTTTCCTTGCTGGCATGTTAACCAAGTGCTAAATAAGGTTTGTGGAGTAGGGGAATGTCTTGGTGGGGGAAAACGCTCGAGCGTCCCTGTCTTCCCCCAAGCAAGCCTCTGGCTGAGGTCCTGTGTGTTCACACTTGGACAGCTACATATCCCGCCCTCGTATGCACTTTTCTCTCTCTGCACGGATGCAGTCGGCAACTGCAGGCACCGGTGCCCCGAAAACGCGGTTTTCCGCCGTTCCGCCTGGCGTTCCTCGGCGGAGACCCCGCGCCGGCGGGCCCTCGCGCAGCGCCCGGCGAAGAGCGTGGGTTCGCTGGCGGGCATCGGTCAGCGACGCAGCCGCGGCGCTGGGCTAACGGAGAGCGAAGGCATTTCTGAGCGGAGGGAGGGTTGCCGCCACGCAGTCAGAGGTGGGCAGGGATGGCGTACGGAGCTGGAGCAGCACGAACGGGGAAGGGACGGCGCATTCGGAGCGATAAGGATGGGAGGCACGTGCAGCTCTCTCGGGTCAGGCTGGGAGCCGCTCCGCTCCCTCGGGGTCTCGCAGACGCTCCTCGGCCAGCGAGCAGCCCGCCTGGCTGGGGGCCCCGGGTGGTTTGGTTTTTTTCCGAAGGAAAGGGAACGTGGAAGACGTGGTCGGTGGCGCGTGGGTGCCTTTGGGCCCCAACACGCGGCACGCCGACCTCGCCGGACTGAAGCACCGAAGGGTGCGGTAACCCTCTTGCCCTGCCCCGTGCAAAGAGACGCCTGTTTGTGCACGAGGGGACGGGGAGG